ATATTTAATTACCGTTGAAAACGGTATATTATTAAATAAAGCCTCACGGTATATACCGGCCTGTGGTTCGATTCACTGTTATATACACCGAATACATCCACATTCACTTATTCTATGTGTCTTTGGCCCTTGAAGTTCAATTACTGATCCTACTCCGTTGAGTTTGGGCATATCTACTTAAGACTCCCACAAGCTTGCGAAATCAGTTCCGCGGGCCCGCTGGACGAGCTGGAAACGGAATCCCTAGCCCACAGATGCAAACCAACGAGTCGACGCAACAAGATGTTCGAGCTCTACCTACTTGCAGCCACCACACTGCTGGCCTCGTATTTCTACGCGAGGCTGAACTATGTGCGCTTCAGCCAATACGTGCATATCCCACGGTTACCAAATCACCTCCTTTGGGGACATCTTCAGACATTTGGTGAATTCATGCAGCGCGGTATACGCGATCGCCATCCAGGTATGACATAGGATAACTCTCGTTGCTACGAAGTTGCTCAGATATATATGAATTATAAACTATTACGCCTGTTCGAAGCCTTTCTAACGACCATAGATGTAATCTTCGAAGAGATGTGGGCATCAATGGGCCGTCCTCCTATCATGCTTGTAGACCTTCGGCCCATTAATCGTCCCATGCTCCTCATCACCAGTAACAGCATCGCTGAACAGATATCGAAGCCTACCACACTTTTTCCTTTCAGCACGCCCAAATCCCCCACGTGGACTCACAGTATGTCGAATCCCTATACTAATTTACTGTTTTTTTGTATGAGGGCTCTGGGAGCCGGGAGCCGGGCAGAGCCGAGACATATTGCAACGCGTATTGCAAACGAGAGCTCTTGAGACAGGTCCCGGCTCCTAGAGCCCCTCACTGTCGTTTCGATGTTTTACTATGCTAATTCGTTGGCAGTGATTCCCATCATAGGATCGACGTCAATTTTGGGCAGAGAGGTAAGTACGAACGTGCTATAGTTGGAAATGGCTGGCTGACGCTGATAATCTGCAGGGTACTGACTGGAAGGATCTCCGCAAAAGATATAACCCAGGATTCACACCTCAACATTTGTGGAGCCTCTTGCCTCTCATACTTGAGAAGACGGAACCATTTTTTTATCTACTTAGATCAATTTGCTGCCTCCAAAGAAGAATTTTCTCTCGAGAAGCTTATATCGAACCTGTCCTTTGATGTTATTGGGGCCGCCGTGATGCAAGTCGACTTAAATGCACAACACTTAGACCGTTCAAAGCAGGGCGAAGTAATCAGATTGTTTGGAGACCTTATGCAGACATATAACGACGACAAGAATAATCTCCCTTGGTGGATCGTTCCTTCAACTACGCTGAAGCGGCACCGGCTAGCGAAGCGTATTGATCTGCTCATAAAAGACACGATAAAGCAGAAATATGCGGAACTAAAAGAAGAAGGGGAAGGGAATAGGTCCAAAAGCATTGTCGCGCTTAGTTTCCAGGATACCGGAACATTGACGCCCCAACTTCTATCAGAGACGTCGGACCAAGTACGCAGCTTCCTGTTTGCAGGACATGATAAGATTACAATTACTAGCACACTGCAGTGGGCTTTCTACGAGCTGAGTCGTACGCCCCGCGCGCTTAAGGCTGTGCGCGACGAACTCAACGAAATTCTGGGACCTGAGACAGATCATCGGGCAGTATGTACTGCACTCACCCAGAATGGTGAGCATGCTCTCCAGAAAATGCACTACATCAATGCTGTTATCAAGGAAACACTCCGCCTACACGCGCCTGCCGGCACCGTTCGTATGACAGAGCCTGGGACAGGCTTCACCGTTCGCGCATCCACCGGTGAGGAGTACTGCACAGATGGCCTCATTATGTACGCATGCCATAGTATTATTCAGCGAGATCCGACGGTCTTTGGAGATACGGCAGATGACTGGGTACCCGAGCGATGGTTAGGAGAGGCATCTCAAAGCATTCCCGCAACTGCGTGGAGGCCATTTGAAAGGGGTCCAAGAAGCTGTATGGGACTGGAGCTTGCGAATATCGAGGCACGAGCCATTATCGCCATCGTGGCTCGCAAGTACGATTTCATCAAGACGGGCCTGGGTGAGAGCGCCTTAGATGAGGAGGGGCTTCCTACGTTGAATGACAAGGGACAGTACAGAGTCAAGTCAGAATTGTATAATGTAAGTTAACTCAAGTAAATACTTCTGACAAAGAGTTGGCTGACACTGTACCTCCGCTGCCATAGACACGAAGGATGACCTCTAAGCCGGTAGATGGGACAACAATGACAATTAAGCTTGCTAGCGATTGAAAACTTTTTACGCGTATATATTTTGAAAAAAAAATAA